CGGAACAAGTATTTGTATGGCCTATATGTAATTGTCCCGGGTCTGGATGTTTGTCCTTGTGAAATTTGTGTTTGTAAACTGCACCCACGAACCCACGATACAGGAGAAATCCTAGTGTGGAGGTAACGTTTAAAAATACTTAATATAAAGCATGTAAAACTGAATTTATAAAAAGACAATATCTCGCTACGCGTTAGTTGTCAAACTTTGTTTAGCAAAGTAGTGTGCTAACCTTGAAAAACGTTGCACGCTTAGCGAAACAAAAAATCTCTTCATTCTATTTCATTTCTTTACACGACATCGGCGTAAATTGCTCTTTCTCTTGTGTGCTTGCGACCATGAAGTGATAGATAAAAATGGAGATCACACTCCGAATACCTACTTTAAGCTTAACCTATGTATTACTATCTCGCTCTCTGTCGGCAGACCCTCTCTTTCTAAGTAGGTAACCTTTATTTTATTTGCCGCCTCTAACAATTTTGTGATGACACGATCATTTGTTCTGTGTCTGGGTGTAATTTATCTATAATATTTATGTATTAAAAATATATAAGTATTTTATCATTGTCTATACCCATAAAACTTTTAGCTTGGACTAATGTGTGTGATAGTTGTGGAATATTATTATTATTATTATTTTTCCCAGGATATCGCTATAAGTAGTTGCATCACATTAAGTGGTTTATATATAAATATCTACATCTCTGTTTACTACTAAGAGCTAGCCTATATAGATTATATATTTTTGTACAATTTTCAAGGTTTTCATTTCCATGGGTAGTAGCGGTATCTAAAATATGACCACTCATTTCCGTTACAACCCATATAATGCCGAGCCCATTTAGAAAATGTGGAAAGTAAATATATCAGAGAATATTTTATAACTACCATTTCGATAATGTATTTTCCGGTTATTGTATGCAATTCCTAAACGGTACATATAACATATGTATTATATTAGGAATGGTACTCATATATAATATATAATAGTATTAATTATGGCTTCAAATTAAATCAAATCATGTATTTCGCTAAAACATGTTTTCACATGTTTGGCCCTTTGTGGTATGCGTAAAAATTGTGTAAAGTAAATATGTTGAAAACAAATGAATAAAATTAAAATTAAAAAAATAAAATTAGAAATAAACACTGTAATGATAATTTATGTTTTTAGGAAAAAATAACAAAATTATAAAAATTAATTTTTGTTCATTTGAGAAGTATGACGCAAAATCCTGAATCTATAGTTATTTACTTAGTTAAGCAAAATCAACAAAAATAAAATCAAAATTTGTGGTTAAAGAATTCATTGATATTATAAAAGGCAGTATTTATTAGCCACTGCTTTATACTTTTTTCATTCGCCTTAATGGCTGTTCACGAATATTTTTAGGAACTTTATTATAAACCTTGATACACATTATGAGACGATTCCTCTGAAATAATGTAGTTCTACAAGATGGCATGCGTAGACATGTCGGATCTTTTTTTGCTACAGATTTATTATTTTCCTGCGCTGTAAGAAATTAATTAGAATTATTTTTAAAGAAAACACAGATTTCTAATAGGTATAAACCAGTTAACCCGCTTTGGTTCCACGGACCTTCTTGGGTTCACTTGGATCCCTCGCAATGGCCAATAACCGATTTCGAACCTTCGTCAGTTTCACAACCGCCGGAAGAGAAGAGACACGCTCTAGTGGCGAACGTTTCGAGCGAGGTTTCTCCAATCATTGCTTTGGCGAACCGCTTGTCCTCTTGGTCGAAATTATTGCTATCGAATAGAGCTTGTAGTCGCGCCTTTCAACGCCTTAAGCCATTTTTACAGGATGGGATTGTAAGGGTAGGTGGACGCTTGTCCAACTCGCAGTTGAGTTTCGACCAACGGCACCCTATAGTTTTACCGCATAAAGACCATATCACGAATTTATTAGTTGATTACCATCATAAATTGAATTCTCACGCTGGCCCCGATTTGCTGATGTCAATCTTGCGTCAGAATTATTGGATTCTTTCAGCATGTAATTTAATCCGCAATCGGGTGCACAGATGTATAGCTTGCTTTCGAGTACGTCCTAAGCCGTCATTTCCGGAAATGGCGGAACTTAGATCTTGTAGAGTAATACAATCGGTAAAGCCCTTCACGCACACCGGGTCGGATTTCGCTGGTCCGTTTAAGGTCACGCTCACTCGCGGGCGTGGTATAAGATCCACAAAGGCTTACGTCTGCATTTTCGTATGTCTAACTACTCGAACGGTGCATATAGAACTCGTTGGTGATCTAAGCACAGCAGGCTTTATGGGTGCATTTAAAAGATTTCTATCCCGTAGAGGCCCTGTAAGTAAATTATATTCCGATAACGGTACGAACTACGTCGGTGCGAAACGTATTTTATCAGAACTACATGAGCTCTTAGCTAGCAAGTACTATTCGGAGTTCGCTCACATTCTAGCCGAAAACCGCATTGAGTGGTCTCTGAACGTCCCAGCCGCGAGTCATTTTGGAGGCAATTGGGAGACTAATATTAAGAGTCTAAAGAGTCACTTATACCGAGTAATAGAAGATCAAATTTTGTCCTTCGAAGAGCTAAGTACGGTGCTCGCTCAAATTGAATGCGTAATGAATAGCCGCCCACTTTGTCGTACATTGTCTAGCGACCCCTCGGAACCGCTGGCTCTAACTCCAGCACATTTTTTGAATTTAACGCCTTTAAAGTATTTGCCCGCCGCAGATATGGATGAGAACAGACTTAGCATTTCCGCACGCTACAAATTATTAGACCGGTTAGTGCAATCGTTTTGGAAACGATGGAGGATGGAATACTTGCATACTTTGCAGTCTCGGCAAAAATGGAACACAGCGACTGAGCCTTTAGCTGTAGGAACTGTAGTTGTGCTCACCAAAGAGAATACGCCGCCTCTCCACCAGCCGTTAGGAATTGTCGAAGAGGTCTTTCCCGGTTCCGACGGAGTAATTAGGATAGCTCGCGTTAAGACCACGGTTGGGTCTTACCTGCGTCCTGTTGTCCGTTTGTGCCCCTTGCCTCTTCCATAATTTAAATTAGCTTTCTAGATTAAAAATCGTAGTGGAATTTAGGTAATCTTAGCGTTAGTTAGTTATTTTGTTAGTTGATCTTAGCTCTAGTTGTTTTAGTTATTTTTTGAAGGAAATCCTACAAGGGCGGGGGAGATGGTTGCGCGGAAAACCATTCGTATTTATTTAATTTGACGGTAGGCTGGCAAATCGGTTATCCCATTCCAAAACGATATCATTCATACCCTCCTATCGACACATCGGGGTGGTGGGGTGGGAGGGGAAAGAAGATGATTCTAGAACATCACGTAATCATCGGAACCGAGGATATAAAGGGCACGCGCGACCGACGCGCGCTCTCTTCCCGCCGCGCTCGTCATTAGAACCACATCACTAGTAGAAACCGCTTTAGCCTGGAAGCAATCGAGCTCCAGGGAACCCGCCTCACCTCGTGTGAGATATAGTCGCGCACCGCCTCTCTCCAGAGTGTCTGTCCAGAAGAGGTTCCAGAAGTCGCAGTTATAGTGCTCGACCGCATAGAAGAAACATCCCGGTGAGTCAATATCCAATATTATAGCCTGCTTGATATAATTGTTTTAACCCGCTCCAATTTTGTGTTTTCCTAATCAAGCAGGATTCCTTTCATCGATTTGGCAAATAATAGTTCGTTTTTAGGAAAGAGCGAGTGCATTATACCGCATATATAAGTGTAGAAGCATTTGTAGATACAGTCCACTTAGATTAATATCTCGCGTAATAGGTTTAAGGTTCGACCGGGGGACTAGACTTCGGCAGCCTTAAACATGTGGCTCCACCACATACTATCATAGTCAGCTATATAAAAATTTAATTGTACGTTTTCAGTGTTATAAGGTAATCTTATTTCATTTAATAGCTTAATACTTATGTCAAGAGGAGGATGGTGCCTGTCAACTTTACTGAGGGGGCAAAGTGCCTGTTCTACTGTGCAGTTTGGTAAATTTGCAATAACCAAATCAAGTGTTCTATTTAAACTCTGATTCTTTATACGACTGTACTGCTTCAAATCATTGACGTTTAAAAAATCAATAAACGACTGACTAACAGTGGAAAGCTCGCATTTCGCAGGATCCTCATCTAACAAGCTCCAATTTATGGAAAATAGATTAAAATCACCCACTATACAATGCAGACACTTCTCTTCCAGGACGCTAGTACATGTGTCATAAAATTTATCATAAGTTACACTTTTTACAGGAGATGGTAAATAAATGGCACAGAAAGCAATTTGATAAATTGAGTCTAAAACTGGCGCTTCGACTAAAACCCATAAATCCTCCAGATCCGACTCCCAAGCTTTTAAAAGCTTTGATTTTAATTTCCTAGATACTGCTATTAAAACCCCCCTCCCTCTTTCTTAGTACTACTGGCAGAAGATCTATCTCTTCTATATACTACATATCTAGGGTCAAAAAGTTCACTACTCGAAACAGAATCATTTAGCCAGGTCTCAGTGAGTATTATTATTTCATAGTTGTTACATAGTATTTGATTATAGAAACCATGTGTTTTGGTCTTAAGACCACTACAATTTTGATAGTACAATTTTAGCGTATGGTATTTTATTAAAAACCTTACCATATAACAGACAATAAGAAAGAAAGGAACAAAAAGAATTACTTAAATAAGTTTTTTTAGAGTTTCTAAACTTTTTACCAGAATATAGTCACTCTCATCGGTCTTCCTCATAAATATTCTGCCATTACGCACCCACACATATTTATATCCGCTCTCCTTTGCTTTGAGTCTAGCCGCCGCATGAATAGCCTTATTCACTGGGGATAGATGTTCAGTTACAAAAACAGGATTGGTGTGTCCTATTAATCCAAGATGTGTAGCATTAAGTCAGTTTTGTGAGTTCAACTTGTTGTATTTTGAGGCCATCGCCAGCATTTCATCGCAAATCCTAGGTGAAGCTAGATGCACTATTAATATTCGCGATTCATTTTGCCAGTGCGTGTACAATTTAGAATGTCCTTTTCATTCAGAGAGCTACCAATGACTTCACTCAACTTTGTTATCATTGTTTTAAGATTTTCATTTCTTGACTCAGGAACGTTCTGGAGTTCTAAATTACATTGACGGGAGTGTTGTTCTATTTGATTTACTCTCTGAGCTAATGCATGTACAGTTCCTTTCAGTTCTGCATTCTCTTTCTCCAAAGTTGTTACTTTTATTTTAGAGGCTTCATTTTCTTTCTTTATGCCTTCATACTGATCATTAATGAATGTTAAAGATTCCTTAATACTCGACAATTCATCTCTCATTGGTTTAATTTCCTTCGCGAAGAATCCAACCAAGTTTTCATTAAATCTTTTAAATAGATCGTTCATTTTATCATCCATCACACCTTCTACCACTTGACGGATGTCTTCCATAGAAATGTTCACTTTTTCGGGATCAGACTGTGGCGATCCAATGGCTATTCTTTTGTTTCCTCTTACGGTGCTGACATTTCTCACAGGTGTATTATCTTTATTTGCCGTTTTTGGTTGTAGGTGGACACATTGAGGGCATGCCCATGTCGCTAGTAAATCAGAGGTAATAATTTTACGATCAATTATCATACATGCATAATGATATTTTCTTTCACATTTAACGCAAACAATAAATTCGTCACAGTTATCATTTTCGGAAAAGCAACAGCCCCAATTTGCATTAGACATCATAAATCCACTCAAATATAATTAGGTTACGATCAAACCCTATTGCTATTTCATCAACTCTGTCTAAAATCATGGAATTGTTATATTAAAGAATAATATGGTTTTAGAAAAGGTTTGAGCATAATGCCTTAGCTTAATTATACGTGGTAGAGCCATAAACGGCCCCCAGTCTCCGGCAGCCCCGCTGTTCCTGGCTACGGTGGCGACCATGGTAACAGCGGGGCAGGGGGTGCTAAGAATTTCCGGTGGAGGTTCGGTTGCCACCTACGATGACTCGACCAGGCAACATATAACGCACGCACTCTAAGGACTGACGAGAAGATGCTGGAGCTGGAAGAAGAGGTAGACAAGTTGCGCTGGAATTTTATTGGATTATCCGAGGTCCGAAGAAAGGGCGAGGACACAGTAATCCTCGAGTCCGGCAACATGTTCTATCACCGGGAGGGCGACCATCTGTCCCAAGGTGGTGTCGGCTTTATCGTCCATAAGTCTCTTGTCAACAACGTTGTAAAGATTGGGAGTCTTACGCATCGACCTCGGCACATCCCGATGAGGAGGTGGTGGAAATGTATGAGGATATTTCTAGAGCCATGCATTCCTCCAAAATCTACTACACGGTGTTGATGGGAGACTTCAACGCAAAACTAGGCACAAGAGAAAGCAGTGAGCTGAAGTTAGGGAAATTTAGAGTAGGGCAACGGAACCGTAGGGGCCAGCAGCTGGCCGTCTTTATGGAAATAGAGGGACTCTTTATGATGAACTATTTCTTCCAGAAGCGGCCCCACAGGAAGTGGACCTGATCGAGCCCCGACGGTTGGACAAAATATGAGATTGACTTCATTATGACGACCAGACGCCAACTGTTCAGTGATGTCTAAGCGATCGCAAGGGTGAAAACTGGCAGCGATCACCGAATCGTTAGAGGCATATTGAACCTAAAAGTTAAGGTGGAGAGTACTCGTCTAATGAAATCAATGCTTCGTCCCCTCGTGCTTTACTCCAGAATCCCGAAATATTTCAGCTCGAATTACGTAACCGCTTTCAGTGCCTAGAAGATTGCAATTCAATGGACGATATGAATGACAAGCTCGTGGAAGCCGCCGCAGAAGAACACAAAAACTGTCCGATCACACTCTTAATCTCATGGCTGTTGGCTGGCATGGCTGGCACGGGAGATGAGGCTGCAATCGTCAACAGATTTGACAGCATACAGGCAACTGAACCGACAGATCTCCAAATGCATGCGGCGAGACTTATGCAACTTTAATACTGCTCGTATTGAAGAACCGATCAAGCGGAACCAGGGCTCCAAAGTATTTGCCAAAGATCTGTCTGCCAGAAAGAGCCAACTGTCAAAGCTGAAGACTGAGTGAAGCAGCATCGTTTCCGGGACACCTGAGATTTTGAGTGAGATTGAGAGGATCTATGGTCAGCTGTACATCATCGTTGGAGCCAAACTCAAGTGTGAGTAACGATCCAAGAGCAAGTCTTATCCGACACTATTCCGATGATATCCCGGACGTCAGTCTGAGCGAGATTAGAATGGCTCTCCAGCACCTTAAAAATAGCAGGGCCCCAGGTGAGGAAAGAATTACAGCGGAGCTTCTGAAAGCGGGTGGAACACCGGTACTTAAAGTCCTTCAGAAGCTCTTCAATACCGTCCTCCATGGTGGCGCTACTCCGGAGGCGTGGAGCAGAAGTTCGGTGGTCTTGTTCTTTAAGAAAGGCGACAACGCTCTCTTGAAGAATTACAGACCGATATCCCTTCTGAGCCGCGTCTACGTGCTGTTTTCGAGAGTCATTACGAATCGTCTCGCACGGAGACTCGATGACTTCCAGCCCCGAACAAGCCGGTTTCCGAAAAGGCTTCAGTACTATAGACCACATACATACCCTGCGGCAGATTGTACAGAAGACCGAAGAGAACTATTGTTATCTGAGAAGAAAAACGGGGGGAGAAGTGAGGAACTACGGAGGGGCTGCCATTGGGTGGCTCGCGTCGGAGGGACCGCGGGTGTGCATGAAAGCAATTCTGTGGCCCTGTCAATTCGCGGTAAAGGTAGCACACCAGGGGGTTTTAGTTAGTGTGAGTCTAGTCGAAGATTTAATTCTCTCTTGAGTTTAAAGCTTTAATTTGTGCTTTAACTTCGTAGTGGCCCTACTTCAGTTTATTTCTTATTTACAAATTCTGGCCATCGTTTACATTCACGGTTTTTGGCAGCTTCTTCTTGCACAACATCCACCGACAAAGGCAATTAAGTGTTCGATCAAGAACCCATGTATTGCGATATGTCAAGCCCCCTAGAATACGTGGTACTGCCGAAGCTTGAAAGGTTAGGGGGGGTAAACTTAGGAATGAGGATGTCGGCAGTAGAACCAGAGTGACCGACATCGCCCAACGGATTAGTAAGCTTAAGTAGCAATTGACCGGCTATATGGCTCGAAGAACCGATAACCGATGGGGCAAAAAGGTTCTCGAGTGGCAGCCTCGTACCGGCAGGTGAAGTGTCGGAAGTTCCCCCACTAGATGGAGTGAAAACCTGGTAAGACATACAGGAAGTTAATGAATACAGGTGGCCCAGGACCGTGCTTTGTGGCGTTCCTTGGGGGAGGCCTATATTCAGCGGTGGACTTGTGAGGGACTTTAATGATGATGAATGATAATAGCATTATATTAATATGATACATAAATAGAATGGATGTTACGGGTAGAGTCCATCTATTTATAGAGTCCATTCTATTTATTTAGGTATTGGTAGGGTATAGAATTTTTATCGATATATTTTGTCACACTGTCTTATCCATATTATTGGTTCCGTAGACGTGCACTTCTGCTGTCAGCGCCAAAACGGCGCAAATCAAATTGCCTCATCATGTCACTGTGTATAGCCAGTCCAGCATACTTGTATATATAGAGGTCAGTGGACTAGCTACAGTGGCACCATCCTTATTTAGCGCTTTCCTACGGAATCTTTTTATACAGAGTCTGTACTCCTTACCTACCTACTCACTCCATAGTTCTCCTGTTCTCTAACCTCCATGCTGTGTATTATGGAGTGTAGAGGTAAAGCGCGGTAAGTGTAAGTAAGGGTGGTGCCACTGTAGCTAGTCCAAATTTTAAAGAACTTTTATAATTTTTTTATTGCACAGACTCACCATAATTCTTTTTACAATAATTATTTTATTGCTTTCAAAATTTTTATTTTCAAAATCACTCCCAACGTATATACGCCGTAAGATAGATTTATGCATACGTCTTGCATAGAAATGAGATAGAGCGGTGTGATTGTTTGTCCCTCTCCCGTGCCGGTTTTTTTGTTAACTTTAACAGCGTAGCGATTTAAGGAGTTTAGAAGTTGGTTTAAGTGAGAAAAAAGTGTTTTGTGACCTTAAGATTGGTGAATCTTGTTCAGTTCAGTTCTTTGAACAATTAAAATTTTTATCTAAATTTGTTTAAAAGTCGTAAAGATTATTGTATAACCTAAAAATTCGTTATCGTCCTTTCTCATTTGAGGCCACGCCGATCATTAGTCTATAGGTTTCTCTGTCTACGTTTTCAACTATTCTCCTTTGGGAGATTGTCCTCCTTACCTCTATACTCTATGCTGTGTATGTTACAAGCATAGAGTAGGTAGGAGTTTTGGTTAGAGATGGGCTGAGTGATGATTTTTCTGTATCAATGACTACATGAAAATGACAAAAAAATATCGGTGACGGGAACAATGACAAAATCATCAATGATTTTTATCTGAGTATTAGAACTCGTCACTTCAATTGTGACTAGATACTAAAATGATCGCGGAACGGCTTATTGAAATTATCATTAGTTATTTATGGTCGCGTAAATACGCACCTCCCCAACAAACAAGTAATATTTCAATCTTACCTTCATGCTTTTTCCAGGCTTAGGACTGGCAAAGACTGGCAAAGTAATAGTACTTAGTAGGTACTTACTTGATAAAAAAAAACTATCATTCTGCTTTTCTTTGGCGCATTTAAAAGATTGGTATATTTACAATGATCAATTATCAATAATATTTGTTATTTAATTTTTTTTTGTTTTTTGTATTTTTGTTTTTTTTTCTGTAGAAATATTTACATTTTCTTGCCCGCTGTATCCAATTATTGGCTACAATTGACGTTTAAAACATTAGTTGTTTAACTTTTGCAATTCCTAGACGAGTGCGTCTTTCAGTTACCATGGTACCAGCTCGTGAAAATACCCTTTCACAAGGCACTGATGTTGCTATCACACAACATTTATTCAGAACTAATTTTGCCAAATTTGGGTAAACATGCTCATGATTTTTCCACCATTGACGTGGAGTGTCATGTTCTGATCCCATTAGAAGGATGTCGTCGTCCAGGTACCTTTGAACCTCCGCAATCGCTCTTGACAACGGGGTTCCTTTAGGCTCTATTTTGGCAATTGCTGTTCTATATATATTCCATATGGACGGTTCAGTATCTCTTGTGTTTTGTGTCGTAGCTAGTGCTGGAGTTGTTAGTTGTTTTGCCTTTGCAATTGTCTCAGCCACTAATTCTATAACATTTTTTTGTTTCTTCAGCCTGACGGTATGGGAACATGAAAATTTTAAATCGGGGTCTAAAAAGGTCGATAACGCAAGCGTTCTACTAAATTCCAGATTACGAAATCTTTCAGAAGTTTCCTTTTTTAGCCTTTTCAAAACCACTTTGACAACATCATGCAGGCCATCTCTTAATTCCAATGTATCTAGTGTTCCCAAAAGGCCCTGCGTAATTGGAATCACTTCTCCACCCATGAAATATTTTTCTCCACTCATGCGCGTAGATACTTCATCGAAGGGTTTAAGCACGCACTGCAAATCTTGAATAATTATACAATCATTTTCTTCAAGATATGTACCTTTGAAGTTGCTGAGTGGAAGTGTTGCAGTTACAGCCTCTCTAAGTTCAGCAAACCGCTGCAGCATATGAAATTCAGAGTTCCACCGAGTTTCCACAGATTGAGTAAGTTTTTTTTGCTGTTTTCGCCTCTGATTGTTGTACTTGATATTTTACAAACTTTTCTGTGGCCAAAGCGCTACGTTTGTAAAAAGCTACAATGTTCTTCACTTTGGTGATCGTCTGTTGCAAATTTTCAACGTTTAATCCACTCTTGACAATTAAATTTAAACAATGTGCATAACATCCAAAATGGCGCCAATTCAGCTCACTCGTGATAGCGGAAACTATATTACTCGCGTTGTCAGACACAACAATGGTTATTTTGCCTGTAATGTTCCAAGTCGATGCACATGTCCTTAATTGACCTGCTAAGTTTATGGCGGTATGATGTCCATGGAGTACTTCACACTGCAGGAAAAGCGACTTCAAAATGTAGTTTTGGTCGATATAATGAGCTGTTATGGCCATATATGACTCATTTGCTTTTGATGTCCAGCAGTCGATAGTAAGGCATACACTTGTTGCTTCTTCAGTAATTTTTATTTTAGTTTCATTCAAAACTTGCTCGTACATTGATGGCAGTAAAGTGTTTGAAAGGTACTTACGACTAGGTAGTTGGTAAATAGGATTTAAACCATGAACAAATTCAACAAAGCCCTTGTCTTCCACAATGCTGAAAGGTTGAAAATCTAATATGAACAATTTCATTAGCAGTTTATTTAACCTTTCCTGTTCAGATGGTGTAATTTTTTTTCTCTGAGTGAATTGAGCAATTGTAGGTTGACGAACTAAAGCCTGCTGAATAACGCGTGGTTGTGGCAATGATTGACCCTCGGCTGAGTCACAAGCAGAAGAAGCAACAACAGACGAAAGATTTTGGGATCCTGCTGGATTAGAAGGACCACCTTCCTGTTCCAAACGTTGTTCTGAAATGTGTTGGTGCATCATATTCCTCCGTACATCTTGAATTTCAACCGTAGGGTGTTTTCTTAAAATATGTTTTTTTAAATTTGTTGAGGAAGTTTTATAGGATAATTTTACCCTGCACAATTTACATACTGCTGTTTTTTCACCAACAGATTCAATGTCAAAATGTACCCATACGTTGGATGTTTTTCTTACAGTTGAAGCCATTTTGGAATATTTAGATATAAACTGAGAACATAGCACTAAACCTTTCTTGCCTATAACTATAAGATAGAAAAATATAATAAATAAGTGCACCCACTGTAGAACGTTACGATACACAGTTTTTTTTACAAAGTACACAAAGTACTAAGTAAGTACCTAAACGCTAAATGTGTAAACTTGGTTTTAAAATCAATGATATAGGTAACTTCACTTAACTAAATTCACTATAACGTATCAAAAAGCCAATTATAGCGAGAACACGTAACGTATTTCGTTGGTAGTCTTCGTCTAACCAAAACAATGATTCACGCGATACTAATTGCTAGATAAAATAGCATTCGTAATTTGCCGTGCATTTCGCGCGCAAACGTAAATAACGCAAGTAAAAGCATTGTTTGTTGCCGTTCCGTGCAGTGTGCTGTGCACCCCCCGCGCCGGTCATTTTATCGAAACTTGTAAGTTCTGTGACTTCAGCCAGTACCTACTACCTATCGCCGATCGCGAAGTCTCGCAACGTCGCACGTCACAGTCACACCGCAGCGCCCGAGGCATCCCGAGACCGCCCGATCCGAATCACCGAAGCGTTCATTCATTCAAGAAATGATTTAAAAGCATTGATGATTTTGTCGTTGTCATTTCGTAATGACATGATTTTAAAATATCGATGATTTTTACTTGTGACATGATATCGGACTCATCTCTAGTTTTGGTGGGAGCTTGGCCGTAGACGAATTGTCGCTCTTGTCGCTTAAATAATGGTTCGAAGTGGATTTTCGGTAGTGATGGGATATTGTGAATTAAGTGACCGCGCGTGTAAACTATTAGAGAAAACGACGAAACAAGTGCTTTGATGTCGATATAAACCTCAAGTTATTTTGATCGCTTGGGCGCCTCGTGAACTTGAGTGGCTGTCGTCATCAACTGTCCGCTGGGTTGAGCTGTCGTCAAAATCTCCCAAGGGCTTCGCAATGTGACGCATCAGCATATTAAAAACGAAGAGAGTATAAAAATGAAGATTCCGGAAGAAGTGATAGACTCAGAAGGGCTAGAACCCAGAACCGTAAAGCCAGTTTAATAGAAAAAAAGCACAGAGTACTTTTGTTTGTTACAAATATTTCACCTCACCTCACTTCAGTTATTTTTCTCAATATCAATGTGAAATCTAGATTTCATTACAATGTCTTATATTTAATGTGTATTTGATCGACAACTAATCGTACAAATAGATTATCGTTCTCCAGTCTCCTAAACATATCGCATTCATTGTAATGACTGTCAATTCAGTAAAGCGTGACAGTGAACGGAAAGGATAAATTATTGTATTCCTTCCAGCTGCTTTTCGATAAATGTAATTTGGTGTTCGATATGGAGGATTATAAATTTCTTTTTAAAGTTGTATTAGTTGGAAACGCTGGTGTGGGTAAAACATGTTTGGTGCGTCGTTTCACACAGGGTCTGTTTCCTCCAGGCCAAGGCGCAACTATTGGAGTAGATTTTATGATTAAGACTGTAGAAGTGGACGGAGAGAAAGTGAAGGTGAACAAGTTTCCAAAGCGCGACAAATATAGTTAATTTGTCACTGCTATTAAATTGTTGCATTGTTCGTAAACTCTGAGTCTTCTATGACTTTTATGTTATTATATTTATATTATGAAACATGATGAATACATTATTACTAGAAATTTTAAATGAAAAAAAAAATCTGAATAAATTAATGGTACACATCAGTATACAATCTTCATACTGCAATATTATTATAATATAATCTTTTATTATATATCATGAAGGTTTCAGAGTTAATAACTTAATATACCCTTTCAGCTTCAAATTTGGGACACAGCAGGGCAAGAAAGGTTTAGATCTATAACTCAAAGCTACTACAGATCAGCCCATGCTCTTATTCTAGTGTATGATATATCTTGCCAACCAACATTTGACTGTTTGCCTGACTGGCTCCGTGAAATTGAAGAATATGCTAACAACAAGGTGCTAAGGATATTAGTTGGTAAGCGTCATTTTTTCTGTAACTATGATTTAGACTTTATTTTATAAAAACAATAGTCTCAGAACAAATTAATAAGTTGCCTTTTTGCAAAATTATCTTTATTTTTAACAGACTTCAAAAAGGTTTTATACATGGTAAAGCCATGCTACAATTGTATTAGTAGTATAGTTGTAGCATGGATGGGTTGACTAGGCCGGAAGGACCATGCTCTCACAGAATACCAGCGTAAAATAGAAGCTTAGCTTGCTGCTGTGTTTTGTATGGAGAGTGTAGAGAACTGGAGACCCTTTTTACTGGAAATGAGGCTATCCATTTTGGTCCTTACAGGTGACAATGCATCTGCATTTTGATTTGTAATTGAGGATAGATGTAGATGTCTATGGGCCGTAGCAACCACTTACCATCAGGTAGACTGTGTATAAAAATACTCATCCTATAAAAAACAAAAAAGGAGGAGGTTCTCAATTCAAGTGTTATTTTTGTGTATTTTATGCAATATCTTCACAGATTGAAAACCAATTTTGAGGTTTCTTTTTTATTAATTAGGTCATATGTAAAGTGTAGTCCCATATAAATTAGGAGGGAAAATTTCACCCCTAAGGGTGGCAAATATATAAATTCTTTTTTAGTAATTATTATTAAGTATTTAAAAAATTATTATCTGGTAATAATGCTTTGTGTATACTGTTAAATAAATAAGTTTCTTTCTTGTGAAATGGGCATACAGTAAAGTTTTATTACTCTGGCACTTCAGTATGTCATCACATCCAGTAGTCTGGCACCCTACTCCACTGTTAACTCCATTTGCATCTCTCTCTTTCATCACTCCCTGCCTGATCAGTATGAGCGAAAGCTTGTGCAATATAAGATTGTATGCGCACTCTCGTTTAATCACGTACCTGCTGCTTTGCTAGTAGTGATTTGTCATCAAAATAGTGTAGATCAAGATCTGTAGCAAATGAAAACTTAAGAGTAGCACTGAAAGAGAAAATTGAGATTTAGAAAGTTAGATGGTGGAAGATATTCCCAAATAAATATGTACATACATACATATGCATGTAATATGTAAGTACTTATCGCCTTATTACTACATACATAATGTTTTATTGACCTTGAATTTCCCTATACAATCCAGTAATCGGAATGTTCCAGTAATCCGTCACCTGCTGGTCTTTTATAGTGCCGGATAAGTAAGACTCTACTGTACTGTTTCTTAAACACTCCTTTACACGCTCCCTGTATAGTCACATGATTCCACGCGCAGGGCACAATTGTGGTCCAAAATATAACGAGATTTTTTTACATAGGTATACAAATGAAATAATTTAGTTTTTTATATATAATCAGTCTTTATTGACTTATCAAAATACAAAAAAAAATAGTCACTTCTCAATTGAAACAAAAAATAAAAAGTATTTGGCTTAATAACGAAAAAACTAAAGAAAAAAGATACTTGAGCGTAAATTAAAGGTTTTCGTCACCATTCGACTACTCATTGGACTCTGTTACATATTTATTATAGCAACTAAGACATATAGCATATTATTTATGGTCGTTGCACACAGGCTTCTGAAATTTCTGACAGGATGTTCTGGTCGACCGATCTTTGACTCTTCTGCAGTTCTCTTCTTTGGTACATCTTTGTCTTGAGACATAAAATCACTCTCTTTTATATCTAAAAACATCATGCTCTTTCCCTTGATATTACGAGGTAAGTTTTTAGTCATAAGTCTTTGTCGCATTTGTGGCTCTAGAAGTTCAATAGCCACTGAACGTAAGTAGTCGCGTCGAGGTATGCTCTGATGATTGTGAGTGTCCAGTCAAAAGAATTGTGAGTGGCCAATGGCTACTATTTCGTGCTACACTAAAATGCTTGCACATTTTATCTAAAAATCAACACAGCATTTCATTCTGTTGTACTCGGTAACAATCTCAGGCTTTCTTGCCTCTCTGGTAGAAGGATCATTCGCACCATCATTGTGCATGGTTGATGATACCAAAACTACTTTTTTGGCTTTGGTATGTATGACACAAAAGTGCATATTTTTTTTTTTGGAATCCAAATAAGGAGTTATTAATGTGATACCTTTGAGTGATTTGAAACTAGGTGGAATGTCAGGTTTGTTAGATTTCAGTGTCCCTATAGCAGTTATCTTCTTCTTTTCTAATTCCATCAACAATGGTATACTGGTAAACCAGTTGTCGATGGTCACATTGCTTCCCATACCTTCAAGAGGCTTTACCATTCTGAGAACTTTTAACTTAATATGGAAAAATTTCCTCTCTAATCTGCATACCACTAGGTACGTAATTACACGCGTGGGGCACTGGCGTACCCCAGGGATGCGAAAATACTAACACAGGACACATCCGAGTGCCGGCGCAGTCGTCGCGAAACTGAAGGTCACGCGAAGATATTTGCAACAGCTACTTCAAAAATCAAAATCCTGGCGGTTAAGTTTTGTGATTTACAGGTAAATATTTGCAACTGAGACTACGACTACGCCCGTGTCTCGCGCGTGTAACGGAGTGTTAATAGAATTGTAATAATACAATGATTTTTTAAAATGATTTGACTAAACTAAGATAATAATGACTTGAAAAGTTTTATGTGACTATTGTACAAACTGATGATGATTAATTCATTTTTCATGATAAATTTTGTATGAATGCTAGGTCTTTTTCTTGAAACAGACAGATTAATCATGGATCTTCTACGTATATTACTAATCTAAAATTTTTTAAACTACAATTAAAATGATCAATCACGGACGGGATGACCAAATGCAATGAAGCTGTGTCATGGACAATTGTAATTGAAATTTGGATAGAAATTTGGAAGTGACAGTAGCCTGATTGTAGAGTGCAGAACGCAAACCCAAATGGTTGGGGGTTCGAATCTGCCATTCAAATACTGTCGTAAATCACTCCTAATACAAGCATTTTAAAGCTTATAGCATAGGAATATTAGTAATGTTAATAGCCGCAAGAATCAACC